AAAAAAAAAAAAGTATATAAAACAAGATCAGTTTATTTTATTTTCTAGCTGAGAATATATAACACCATTAACTTTAGTAATAAATTTTTACCGTAAAGCACCAAAATCTTTACTATCGTCTGGCTTCCGAATAAAACAATCCATTTCAGAATTTTCTAGACTGACTATATGGCTGCACTGGACTCTTGTTATTTAAAATTTTCAACTCTTTAGTTAGGAGTTGTCCATTAATTACGTCAACAAAGTAGGGGGGAGGGGAAGTCTGAACTTTTTTGACAATTGTTGACACGAAGGAGGGGGGAGGTCAGTTAAAGTTGACGGCAACAAAATATATATATTTTTTTAAAATTTCATTGCTCAAATAACGGGAAATTAGGCTGAGTTTGTAGCGTAGTTTCTTTGTATAGGGGGGGAGGTAATCAAAAGTTTACGTAATTTTATAGGAGGGGGAGGTCTCTGGACATTTGACAAAGTGTTGACAAGGGGGAGGGTGGGAGGTAAAAATTTCAAAAAATTTGTTGACGTAATTAATGAAAGCCCCTTAACTGATTTTTACATTTACGAATATTTTGCAAATCTCTAGCCTTAATTGCATTTGAAACTAAAAAATTCATCGTTGTTTCAAAACTTTAATTTACTAGCAGTCCTACGAAAAAAAATACGAGTGAAGTACGTATATCGAGTGGCATATCAGAATTTTGTAAATTATGAACGATTTGGAGCAACTAATGTAATTGTTCTAAACTTTCTACAAAATTGATTAGTTAATAAAAACATTCTCCTATCATATTTGTTTATATACAAAAATTAAGAATGAAGTACGTATATCAGGTGGCATATCAGAATTTTGTAAATTTTGAACAGTTTGGAGCAGCTGATACAATTCTTCTAAACTTTATACAAAATTGATTGTTTAATAAAAACATTCTCCTATCATATTTGAAACATTTTTGGATTTTTTCGCGGAAGGTTTCTAGCAACTGATGCAATTGTCATTTTAATAAATAGTGAATGGTTTAAACTGTTTTTAAACCAATCATTTATGGTTTAGAGAACAATTGCATCACTTGCTACAAATTGATAGGAAAAATTTGTAAAAATCTTAGACCATTAAAACTGATGACATGGCGTTTTCGTAAATCTTTGAAGCCAAAATTTTTCAGAGAATGTGACGTCATTTTTGTGGCAGAAAACTAGAAAAAACAAACTAGTAATAAGATTTTATTTAAATTTTTTAGAAAATTCTTTTCATTAGAAATATAAAAAATATATTTTTATTGGATATATTCTTATAAAGACTAAATATAGTAATTAATTAATGTCAATTCTTTAAAACTGTTAATTAATTACTATTGTAATAAATACTAACTCTTATCCGTGAAATAATATATCTTCACCAATTTTACTTCTTTTTGCGCAATTATATACACCTTAATTAATTAAAAATTTAAGATTAATTAAAAAATATAACATAAATGCAAAAGCAATCTCGACCTAAAAATGATTTTTTTGCCACAAACTGACTAAGCTAAACTTTTTTCGGCTTCACTTTTAGATTAGCATTATATAGTTAACGCCGTGTCTATCAGTTTTAATGGTCTAAGGTAAAAATGTACAAATACGATTGGTTAAAGCCTAATATATTTCTTCTTTAACCAATTACATTTGTAATTGGTGAATAATTGCATCAGTTGCTCCAAAACGAAGGAAATTTTGTCTAACTAACGAATAAGTAATTAAGGAGATCAAATAAAATTGAGTTTAGATGTAATAATTTTTTTCGAGTTTAAAACAAATTCATACATTTTTTGAGAATATCAGATTCTAATTTCTACTTTAAGTTTTTATTATGAAAAAAAAAATGAAAAAGAGATACACTTAAATTTAGCGGTGCAAAAGGACTGATGCTCACGCATCAGTGGCGACACCCTAGATCCGCCCCTGAATATATAATATAAGTACATTAGCTTCTATTTTAAAGGTTTTTGCAAGTAATTATATCAGTTCAAATTGGTTTTGCTATACTTTGTCAAATCCCTTTATGGCATCAGAAATTAGAATAAATATTGATTCAGGAGATTCACTTATGAATTTTAAAATGGATTTCAGATTTATCGAATCTATAATTACAATATTTACAAATAAACTTTATAAATATTTACAAGTCAGCTCAGTATAGTAACGATATTTACAAATAAACTTACCTCGAAACAGTATTTAAAATTTCAGCTACAACACTTTCAGATTGAAACAAATGACGTGTTAAATTTCGACCTAAAATTTCTGCATCTTTTGGCCTGCCTTCCTGCTTTAAAAGATGAGTAGCAGATTAGCTCTTTTAATGTTTGAACTCTGCTAGTTCCAGAATTAGTTTTTTAACCAATTAGTTTTTCTATGTTTGATTTTTTTTGTCTACATTTTCTAATTGTACTTTTAGCCTTCACATGGAACTGGAAGTAACTGGGGACAGTGGTAGTGATAGTAGCGCTTCTTTGTCTACAGTTATATTGATCTCATTAAACCAATTCATGTACCTTTTTTCAAATATTGTGTTATTATCATCTGCAATCCTCCATCTTTTTTTTATAACTTTTGGTTAATTCATTTAATTTGTGACTGCTGATACAAAATATATACACTTTTAGTTTGGAACTTAAATAGCTTAAGTTGTTCAAGAGTTAGAAGTAGTTCATGAGCTTTAGAGTTAAAAATGCTAATACTGTTTTAACGTAAAAATATATGAGTTTTAATTTTCTGATCATCATTTCTGAAGATATAAACAGTAAAGTAAAAAATAGTCCGGCTTTTTTTTAATTTCTAATTGCTAATATTCATTTATAACAGCTTTAAATGACATTAGCATCTATACTGTGGCTAAGTATTACCTTATGAATATTAAATTGTAATAAAAAGCAATCAATACTGGTGTTATGCGAAAATAATTAAAAAATTAGGTATCCATAGCAACCAAATAAAATATGAATTTCATAAGAAGTGTGAAACTCATTTTAATACACACGCTTAATATAGTGTACATTGAGCCAAAAAAAAAAAAAACTGTCAAAATAACGTTAATGTAAAAATAGGTTGTTGCTATATAAAATTAGGTACCATAGCTACCAAATTGTAATCAATGTGTAGCTTGAATACGACTGTCCACGTCCATAAAACTTAGTGTTTTTGCTTCTTTACATGTTAAAGAACACAATTACTAGAAATAGAGATGCAACATTAATAGAAATTGAGGATAAGATCTCTTCTATAACTATCATGTCAAAATAAGCTGCCATATCAAACTTTTACCGCATTTCATGGAAATACCAAGTCTAGAAAAACCTCTTTTTAAACAATTCCGAAATTTGACCATTATGGATATTAATAAGTCAAATTTTATTTTTTTGAGTGGTTTTCTAACATCAAATCCGAATTATATAATCAAACAAATTTAATTCCTAAATGGGTTAACTTATGCCTCAACTAGAAAACATTTCTAAAAGAAGACTACCTTATTTTGTTTGGATTGGATATTAGAAGATAGGGCAAAAGTGATTTAAACAATGAGTTAAATTTTTGCGTTGTAAACTGCCAAGTATCTACGTAAAAAGATTTTTAGCTAAGAAATATTACAAAATATAATACAAAATATAATACGAAAATATTTTTCAAACAAAGGCCTTTGATTCCATTGATAAGGCAGTTGTTTGGCCAGAAGCAAACAATACATCCTCCAGCAAAAAAAGACTCCGTCTCACACCACACGTAGTATAACTAAGGAGGTATAATAGAATGGAGAAAGAACGAAGCCGGAGTTCGTTTAAAATCGTAGTACAGTCTTTGTTGTATTATTAATCCAGCTGCAAGTCAAAATGGCGCCTTTACGTTGAAAAAGAAAAATTTTGAAATGTAGTTTGTAATCTTTGTAAGCTGTTATCAAAATGAGTTCCTCTCTTAAAAGTTGACTGGATAAGCTTTTTAACAACTCAATTATCAAGTAGTAATCACAACAAAAATCATGATTTACGTAAATTTATCGTTTTTTAAATACCTCGATACTAAATACAAGTATCAAAGTTTTAGACATCTCTACTACTTGGGTAAATCTTATATTTTGCTTTCCCGTTTAGCTATAGGTCTGTTACGTTCTTAAAGAACGTTTTTTAGGCAAGGAACTTGTTATATCTCTCCAAGATTTTATTTTGTGTTGCTGTATTTTAGCTGAATTTAAAAACAAATTGTTATATTTCAAATATAGAGATATAAAATACCTTTTTAAAAATCCGTCAAAAATACTACTAATTCTTATCTAGACATTTATTAACTCAATTCTAATCTAGAAATTTATTATTAGTCTTTCAAAAAGCACAACATAAAAAAATATTGTTTACAAATATTTTAAACTTTTATCTTTTTATTTGCAAAGCCTCAATTACTTATGACGTTTTGAAACAACATCATTGGATAATTTTTGTTAAAAGTGGAGTAAAATTGGTTAACTTTATATTTTGATAATTATGTAATATTTAATAAAAAATTACGTTACTACTAAGACTGTTCCTTGAGAAATGACGTATTTTAACTTTGTTCTCCCTCCAGTCTTTTATGCCTCTGGTATAACACACAGGTTCAACACAAAGAAGATCAATTAGCTGCTTTGGTGCCCGAGATCATCAGATCTTAACCCAATTATAAAAATATTATTAAAATTATCATGATTGTGGTTAATTTGTTAATTGAATAAAACTGTTAATTGATCATAATTTCATTTTGTGGAATAATATTCTGTTTAGACCACCTGTCACTTTTCTACATTAATGTTAAATAAACGGTTTTATTTGCAAACAGAATATTTTATCCAACATCAATGCAATAAAGTCAATATCTATCCACCCCACCCTATACCCGTCGCCGTAATACTCTATAGCTAATAGATATTATATATTTATAGCTAGTAAATATTTTAAAATAACTGCAACGTTAATTTGTTTTAGTTTCATTTTTAGACATAAACGTTGTTATTGTGTATCTTATCATGCAGCACAACTACCGCCTAAACCCATCACTCCAGGGCCTGGCCATTATGAACTAGTAAAATACGAACAACCAAAACTGCCCATAAGTAGCTCTATGTTTGTGTCGTCGACTAACAGATGTGCCCGGAATGCATTTAACAGTCCCGGACCAGGTAATTATAAAAATATATTTTTAAGTAAACGTTAAGCATTTTTGATGAAATATATCAAGTTATATTTTATTTTATTAAATTATATTTTATAGATTATATACTACATATCTAAGAATATTTAAGTCTGCTTCATTTTAGCTGCGTATGATCCTCGTCATACCTTAACGCAATCGTTCTTTTACAATTTTGAGAAGAAATGGATATGAGTTTTAAAATAAATATTTTCTTGTTAAAATTATATACATGTATTTAATTAAGTTTTTTAAATTAATTCTTATCAACTTGAAATTTTTTAAACACAAACCTTCATTTAAAACTTGCAATATACATTGTTATTACATAAGTTGCACCGACATCGTTATCTGTATTTATATCAACGTTTTATAAATTATGATAATATACTTGTTCATTTGTTTGATTTATATATATATATATATATATATATATATATATATATATATATATATATATATATATATATATATATATATATATATATATATATATATATATATATATATATATATATTTATACACCGTAAATTTGACTAAGTTCAGTCATTTAAGAATAACTAACAAAAATGCATGCTTATTTCAGTTTTTTAAACTTTTTTTTTCCAATAATATTTATCACTTCGTGCTTAAGAATCATAAAAAATGATGTTTATTTGAAATCTACTAAAATAATTCGTTTGCAAAACAAGATTTTGAAATTATGTATACTGTTGAAATCTAAAAAAAGCAAATTATTAAATAAAATGATCAAATTATCAAACTTAGCTCTACATTAAAAGTTTTTTTGATTTTTAAGTATTGAGTACTCTTTTCTTCAAAATTTATGAAGTTCTAAACTACTATAACTTTTGTCACTTATGGATTATGCAATACTTATGGGTTATGCAACAACACATCGCTTAACGATAAAAACAACTGTTTGCAAAAATGTCGTGCCGATGAATTAATTATAACTGCTAAAATAGCACATCGTTTGTCGGGTCAAAGAAACGTAGCTACATCTATTAAGAATATTACAGAAACACTAGAGCGAAGAAAATCTACTGATGTAATTTTTGGTAGCAGGCAGTGGAGTAGCAAGAAAGCACTAGCTTATTATGTAGATTCAAAGTGTACTAATCACAAACAAAAAAGAAAGTGGTCACTGAAAGCAGGACATGAATTATTTCCGCCTCACTATAATTTGTGTAAACCTAAAAGATTGTGTTACCTTCCAAAAGAATTTATATCTGTCTCAGAAACACGAACTGAAATTAAATTTCAAGCTATATTGAATAAATAAATGAACGTTTAATTGAAACACAAAATCAATCAAAAAAATGCATCCTCTAATTCTTCGTATACATTAATAAGCAAATGTGACGGAAGTTCTGGCCACAGTACCTATAAGCAAAGATTTGAGAACTCTGACGTTAATGATGAGTTTTTGTTTGTGTTTGCGCTTGTTCCATTGAGATTGAGTGATGACTATTGTAATAATATTGTTTGGCAAAATCCTTGGCCATTGTTAACACTTTATTGCCGACCAATAAAATTCATATTTTCAAAAAAAAAATACAGGAATTTATTGTAATAGAGGTTAACAAAGAAATATCTGAACTTCTTCCAATACTGTGTACTGTTGGTGAGTTTAAATTTATTGCGAAAAACAACCTGTTAGTTACGATGACAGACAGAAAAGTATGCAACGTTTTAACCGATACGCGCTCTACACAAAAATGTTATATGAAAATGTATGGTTAATAAAAAAGTAAAAAGTCAGCAAAGAGAACAAAGTTGAGTTTATTGGAAGAAGAGAAGATATCATAATTACAAACGAGAAATAGTAATGACCCTAGAATTGATCCTTGCGGGACCTACAAGTAATACTTTTAGATTGTGTAATAGTATTGTCATACGATAATGCTTGTCTTCGATTATTAAGGTAGGAGCGAAGCCATTTTAAGTTTTTGTTTTTTATCCCCCCCCCCCCCCATCATTGAATTTTTCGTTCATTTAGTCGGCAAATTTGACCCTTTTTGGCTAGTTAGTCAGCAAATGTAGATCCTTTCGGCAGGTTAGTTGGTAAATTTAGACAGTCAGTCGGCAAATGTTCTTATGGCAGTCGGAAGGCAGTCGGCAAATTTTTAAAAACGAGGACTTTTATTTCAGTTGGCAAAAGTTGAGTTGGCATCCCCCCCCCCCCCCCGCGTAACACCTATTTGCGCCGTGTTGTATTGAATTGTATACGTATATGTACCGGTTTGTAAATTTTATACTACGTATACTATATATTACTATACTACGTATGCTATATATATATATATATATATATATATATATATATATATATATATATATATATATATATATATATATATATATATATATATATATATATATATATATATATACAGAAACCTGCTGGAAAAACCAACAAAAAGAATGAAGCAGGTTCAACCGCAATAGAGGTCTTAAGAATTTTGGGAAAATGTAACATACCAACTGTGTCATCAATATCTTTGATAAATAGAGTTTTGAACCATTATGAGCAGAACATAAAGCTGCAAAAAACTCCAACAAACAGGAAAAATAGAAAAAACAAATTTCAGCTCTACAAGGGAAAATTTGCAAAACTGTTTGATATATCTGCTTGCCAATGCAAAGATCTAAAGAAATGCTGCTGTGCCAAAGTTAATATGGTACCAGCTATGGAGCAGCCTTTCCTGGAAGATCAAATTAGTGAACGCAAAATGGCTATAGATTTAATAGACAAAAAAATTACAGCAAAACTGCAGAATATCCAAAGCAAACAGAGCTCAAACCTTAATTATGCAGAGTCATTAGATTCTTTCATTTTTATTAAACCTATTACTATTACGGTTGAAAACATCCAGGCATCAACATCATCATCTTCAAAGCAGATTTCTCTCCCTTCTCTTTCATTAGCCTGTGACCGCCATGGACTCTCAGACAGATCGGCTGCAGCTGTGGTATCAGCTGTACTTAACGATATTGGCATTATTTCATATGATAACAAAACACTAGTTATTGACCGCAGCAAAACCAGGCGTAAGCGCATAAAAACAAGGGATAACAAGAAAGTTGGCGAAATCCAAGTAAAAGCGTTGTACTTTGATGGCAAAAAAGACCGAACGCTCAAATTTGACAGTAATAAAAGAACCAAAGTGATGGAGGAGCACATATCCTTGATTCAAAAACCTGGAGGAGGTTACTTGGGATACTGCACTCACTTAGCGGAACAGCTAAATCACTAAAATTTTCAATTATACAATATTCTAAAAAGCACAATATTATTTTGGATAATTTGAAGGGGCTGTGATGGAACAAATGTAAACGGGAAATAAGGGTGGTGTTATCAGATTGATCAAGTTAGAACTTCAACGGCCTCTACAATGGGTAATTTGTTTGCAATATGCAAACAAGCTTCCACTACGCAATTTGTTTGCAGAGTTGGATGGCCTAACATCTGGTCCTAGATGCTATTCAGGCTTAATTGGAAAGTCCCATGAAGTGGGATGACCTTGTGAGGTCTTAAAGACCTTGTGAGGTCTTAATGACCTTGTGAGGTCTTGAAGGTTGTTGATTTTCAACCTATAAACCTTAATGTAGAAATGCCAGAGGTGGACAGAAAAGTACTCAGTACAGTAAAGCAGTATTAAGTGGTATTTGTTCTACCAACCTGGAGAAGCGCAGCTCTGTGAAACTGGCTCATTCTAGGTGGCTCACCACTGCCAATAGAATCCTCAGAATATATGTTTCTACCAGCAGTCCCTCGTGAAGTTTAGTAATTTTATCGATGTTCATTGTGCGAGTTTATGGCTCAATGTGGTTCATCATCAAGAAAGAGTCTTCTATCTTTCATGGCAGCAGGTATCTGTACAGCACAATTGCAAAATCACGATATCTGCCAGCTCCATTACGTAAAGTAGTAGACAAAGTTTGCGGCCGTGGCGCAGTGGTTACAGCGCTTGCTTTATAACCAGGAGATCTAGGTTCGAAACGAGCTCTGGACATATTTTTGCGTCACGGTAAAGAAGGAGGCGTGAACTTTCTGGTTAAATGCACATCTGCGGTGCTCTGTGACACGACCGTTAGGTCTTCTTGGGGCACCTTAATAACAAAAATAATAATAATAATTCAAACAAATGCATTCTTTGGTCATCAAGAGAATATTCTTCAATGGTATTAGATGATCAGCCACATATCCGAGAATTAGGTGTTAGGCGTATACAGAGAGCTAGAAAAGAAAGAATTATGAAAGCTAAACAATCAAGTGTGCGTCAGTTTAAAGTTCCTACTCTGAATTTTATGGCAAATAATACGTGGGAGTTGATTGATTGGAGTAATTATGAATTTTTAAAAAAAGTTGTTTTCACTCCACCTTAGTGTGCATATGGAATCTGGCTGTCATGTCAATTCAATGGATTAAACAAAAAGAATAAAATCCTAAACCCAAATACACATACAATCCTCAAACTCTTTCATCTACTTATTTTTTATCTGAACTAAAATGTCTTTATTTTAATCCAACGTCTTTCAAAAATAAATGGGATGAGTTCGTTGCTAGAATTAAATCACTGGATTACCCACCCGTCATTGGAGTTATATGATTTACTATTACAACCTTAACAAATCTAGACAATTACACTGTGAACCTTAAATTAAGAAGGGTTTGTGGAGTGTCCATTTTATATTGTGCGTACTCATTTATATTAGAAAAGACTTTTATTCAAATGCGATTTCAGTGATAAACAAATGAGTGAGAAATTATGGTGTCAGATTTTAATTGGAAATGATATCTTGTTAATTGGTTGTACTTATCGTCAACTGTAGTTTATTTACCGTTTACTATAATTTACAAATCAATTGGTCAATCAGACGGGCTAAAGCTCTTACTGATAGTGGATAATTTTTGGTGAATTAAATTTTTTTTTTTATTAAAACCACAACAATATTGCTAATGTTGGTGACTTTAACCATAGCAATATCAGGTAGAGAGATTTGGTTGGCAAATGTAAAAGTAGTAAACAACGGTCTAGGCAATCTTTTTTTATATATCAATATTTTCTCCCTATCTAAGTTTCTCACCAAACCTACTTTTGTCAATAACACGCTTAACTTAGTGCTGTCATATGACCCTGATTGTATTTATAATATTAAAATTGGTCCTCCCCTTGGATGTACTCAGAAAAACTCCAGATTCATATCTCCACAACTCTGGGATTTTAAAATTTATTCATCAACCAAAACCTCCAGACTGCACAAAACAAATTATATTGATCACAAATGTGACTATAATGTCTATAATGAAGGCCTGAAATCAATTGATTAACCGAACTTATCCTCGAATAAATCAGCAGACGATTGTATTATTCAAAGACGCATTCCTTTGATCGAACAGCACGTTTCTATGTTCAATGTGACCTTTAGTTTGAAATCTGATCCAAAATGGCTTAAATCTCCTCGACTAAAACGGCGGCTTAAAGTTAAATTTAGACTATTTATACAGTTACATTGTGCTTCAAGCAAACTTAAAGACAGTATTCAAGTCTTATACATCAAACAAAGTCGTCTTGTTAAAAAGCTAAATTTAAAGTTATGTAAATGAAAAAAATTATTTTTATATAACGTCAAACAAAAAGCTTTTTTTTCATTAACATAGTGTTAAATTTACAAATATTAGATAACTACATATTAATATATAATTAAAAATTATTTATACGACACTTGTATTCCGAGTTGACGATATATATATTATGAAAATAAAACAAAACGGAAACAAAAATTGATTTAAAAAAATGACCATGTTGCTATTAACTAAATAAATGTATGTTTATTTTTAAAGACATATTTTCTCTATTCACAAAATTAAAGGCGCTAATCGGGTTTTTCGGTGTTAACGCAAATGACTTTTAAGCATGAAGCAATCTTCAAATTAGTTTTTCAAACCATAATTTTACGCGTCGTAAAATTACCTTATATTGACAACTGGCATCAAGTCTGATCATAATGTTATGCTGTACTATAAAATATATTTTTGAAAAAATAAGCCATCTTTGGTTTAAATATGTAGCAAAAATAAATAAATTTTCAAAAAATTACTGAAGAATATGTAGTAGTTCGAAACTTAAAATGACGAAACCATCGTTCCATCAACTTCATTGTCTATGCCAATATCTTTTTCTTCAGAATATTCAACATTTAAATCTTGCTCAGATAAATGTTCAACAATACCAGCTCCATAGGCGTCACCAAGTACGTTAATCATTGTTCGAATTCGATCTCTAAATAAAATGAAAATCAAATAAAAGTCAAAAAACAATACTTTGTTACAGTTCAAACACGGGTTTCGAAGTGGATGAATAATCGTCAATTTCAAAAAAAAATCTTTTTCAAAAAAATGTCCTTTCGCCAAATTAAAATTAGTTTAAGTTAAGGCGGTAAAACTATCAAATCTCTAAAATGAGCAAATAAGTAAACAAAAAATAAATCTGATTTAATTTGTTCCGTAGTTTACATAGACGAACGATTTAATCAGCTACCCAATCAATCAAATTAAAATCTAAAGTAACATAAAAAAGTCATTGTTACGAATTTAGTGTGCTAGAAAACAAAAAGCGATATTTAAAGAGCACTTTCCATAAGTAAAAACAATATTTTGAAATTGTTTAGATTTTATTCTTATCTTTATTTTTAGTAAACAATATTTATTAAAATATAGTATAATGCCAATCATATAGTCTGAAAATAGTTTTTTAAGTGATTCAATTTGCCCAGTGTTTTTGGTTGAAAAAAATGCCACATCTAAGTCGCTATCAGAGGTTACAACGGATTACTAGATAGAACTCTACATAGTTATAATTAAAATGTTGTGGCTTTGATGGTTCTAACAAAAATATTATGGCTTTTCCTAATGTTATATGTGATAATTGTAAACGAAATTTATACCTTTGTAAGAGTAGCTTATATACACATAGGAGATCATGGGGACTTTTAATTGCTAAGGTATTTTAGATACTCAATGTTTGAAAATAGACTATTTCAGTCTCAATTAAAAAACTTCAATATATATATATATATATATATATATATATATATATATATATATATATATATATATATATATATATATATATATATATATATATATATATATATATATATATATATATATATATATATATATATTCATTTCTGATGAGTTATTAATGAAAATATATTCATTTTTGATGAGTCTTTGTTGATGAAACACAGTGTAAAATGAAAAAAAAAATTTCTAATAGATTTTCTACAACTTATTACTTCTACAACCAGATCAATATTTCGTTACAATTTTTTTTTTTTTTTTTTGCAACCTTAGAGTACATAACGTAAATTTAATTTTTTAAATAAAAACAACTGTTTCTCTTAGAGCTGGTAAAAACAATCGTTTTAAAATGCAATATAATATTGCGACAAAGTTAAAAAAATTATTTAAAAATGGCCGACAAGAATTTAATATTGTGAAACTAAGAAATATAGTTAGATTAAAAATGAAATCTCAAATTTTAAAAATTTTTAAAGACTATCAATCAATGAAAGAAACTTTGTGGTTTTGGCAGTAGAAAGAAATTTTGTGGTTTTGGCAGTAGAAAGAAATTTTGTGGCTTTGGCAGTAGAAAGAAATTTTGTGGTTTTGGCAGTAGAAAGAAATTTTGTGGTTTTGGCAGTAGAAAGATATGTTTTTATTTTAGTAGTACTAGTTGTAAAACAAAAGTTAAACATAACAGAATCTAAAAGTGATTTTGGAGTAATCTTCTTTAGCAATCTGAAAAGATATTTTTAACCTATTCATTCTTAATCATCATTGAATATTCAGTATTAATTATTGGATATTCAATATTAAATATTCAATGTTGAATATACCAATATTTGCTTTTTTGCTTTTTCAATTATATTTTTTCACTTTTTTAACATTCAATGCTCATTTTTTCTTTTATAATAATCCATACGGAATTCCAGCAAGTGATATAAACATATTAAAAAAAAAACTATTAGTATTGCAACCCCTAAGATGTCGGATCAACAAGAAGAATTTCAATGAATGCGGTAGACATGGGAAATGAAATTGATGTTTTAAAAACCACCGAACATTTCTAACTACAAGCATTGATCACTAAAGTGCGAAAAATTGTTAAAGTAATTGTTAAACTCCGTGTTTGAAAAATGAAGTGCTTCAAAAATATGTGAAGCAATGTCATAAAAAAGAGTTGACCCTTGTATTAGATTCCAAAACAAGATGGAGCAACATGTTTAAATGTTTTAAAATCTTCATTAAAGAAAGCACTAATTGATTTAAAACGGACATAATTTTATATAAAACTGAATGAGATACATTATCACAGGTAAAAAAAAAATTTGGCGCTAGTAAAATTAGCTGTGGTCGCGTTATGCCGTGCAGAAGCTAATTTAATTTTTACAGACGCAACATTTACGTTTATGTTGCAAAATTGAAGTGAGGATCACGAAAATGGCCTTGAATTGAAAAAAGAGCAAGATCTCCAAATGAACCGAAGAAGAACTACTTTATCTAATGTTTTACATCTTACATTTTATGTGCATATTGGAGATGGATGGAAAATAAAAATTCATAAGAGTGTTTCTGTTCATTCTAAACCAGAAATAAATAATTTTATTCTAATCCTAACCCAACTTCTTAATAATGAAATTTCTCCGAAAGTTGAAATTTCTCCGGAAGTTGATTCAAAAGATTCTGATCCTGATATAGAAATTTAAAGAACTTTAAAAAAGCCATCAATAAATACAGTTATACAAAATGAAATTAAATTTGGGACAAAGGTAGGTTGCGTGGACTTTTGGAAATTATTTAAAATAATCTTTTGTGTATTCATCCAACAAGTGTTGAAGCAGAGAGAGCTTTTTCCGCCGCTGCAGCGGAAGAAAGCGGAAGCGAAAGCTTTTGTTTTAATATATGACTACAATATTTTTATTTGTTTTGTTTATTTTATTTTTTCATTGAATTTTTTTAAGTTTTGCTAAAAACTCGTTGAATTTTTTTAAGTTTTGCTTAAATACTTTAATAAAAATTTTATTTCATTTATACTTTTAAACTTTGATTTTTTCTTTCGTACTTTTTTTTTTTTTTTGCAATTCCGGAATGATATCGGAATTCCAAATTACATTTTATGTAAACCGAAAAATCCAGAACTTAATTTTCGATAAAAATTGGATTCCCTAACACTAATGATAGAAGTAATTTTATTTAGAGCACAAGAATCATCAAAGTATAGAACTCACTTTCTGACCACAAGGTGAATTTGCCTTCACTGTCTGTATTCTAATCAAATTTGAAAAAAATTTGATCTACAAATTCATTATGCAATTTATAAACTTGTTTTCTTTACGTTTACTTTTATTGGAGTTTTTAATATTCTTGGTGTTCATAAGAGTATTTTAGTAATTACCTGTGTCACCTTTTTGTATTTTGTACATTTTTAAAATGCATATAAAAATAAATAATAAAAAATATTCTTATTCAAAAGATCGTTTAAAAAACTTCGATTTTTTCCTTCAACGATTATTTATAATTCATCATCAAATTACTTGTTTAAAATATTGTACATCGTTCAACAACTCGTTTGAAAAGTATTATTCAACTGTACTTATTATTCAACTGAACGTTTAAAAACTGTCTGAGTTGTTTGTCAGCGCGTTTGTTAGTAACAAACATGTTGAACTTTTTTAGTCAAGAATGTCATAATATTACAACAGATTTTACGCATAACAACACATTACTTTTTTGTTCCAGAGGTTGTTTCCTCAAAGAGCATTTTAAAATTTTCCCTCTGAAATTTCCTTTTTTTTTTAACTTATTTTTTAAATCAAATAAATATATACTCAAATACATTACAAAACAACTAACTGAACAGAAAAAAAACTTACAGAAACCAATCAACTGAAAATATTAGCGCTATCATGTCGGAAGGAAGCCCGACTGTATCCAATACAATCAACATTGTAACGAGTCCTGCATGTGGAATAGCTGCTGCTCCTATCGAAGCCAAAACTGACGTAAAACTAAAGTATATATTAATGTTTTCAAAACAAAATCTGGTGATTTGTAAATGGCTAATAAAATCTTTAGCAAAAATTTCAAACAACGGTTGTACTTTTCTTTATAGATTAAATTAGAAAAAAGTATTATTTATATAATACCTTATAGCAGCATATTCACCAAAAGTCAGTGTTCGACCAACAGATTGTGCTATAATATATATATATATATATATATATATATATATATATATATATATATATATATATATATATATATATATATATATATATATATATATATATATATATATATATATATATATATGTATGTATGTATATATATATATATGTGTGTATATATATATATATATATATATATATATATATATATATATATATATATATATATATATATATATATATGTATGTATATATATATATATATATATATATATATATATATATATATATATGTATGTATATATATATATATATATATATATATATATATGTGTGTGTGTGTGTGTGTGTGTGTGTGTGTGTGTGTGTGTGTGTGTGTGTGTGTGTGTGTGTGTATATTTATATATAATTTATTATTGCTTTATTCTTTAAAAACATTGAGCACTCTATTTGTAGAATACACTACATAATTTATATACATATAAATTATGTAGTGTATTCTACAATTAATTAATTATATATATATATATACATATACATATATATCTTATACTGCTGAGTTAGGTGAGCATGATGATGTCATATTCACCTAATGTCAAATAGCCTGCTGCCGGGGGCTTCAGTACATGCATTGACTGACAAATAGCCTGACTCGCCGTGGAGTGCTGCTACATCGACTGAGGGTTTGGTATGGGTCAGCAACCTTTTCATTCATTATTCTTAGTTTTCCCTCATCGTTTTCTTAAAAAGCTCACTTAAATTAGGCTAGCAAAAAAAGTGAGCAATTGCGCATATAATTATGCTATAGTAGATATAGTAATATACACTGGGGTAGGAACAGGGGGGCGGAAGGGGCGATGGCCTCCGACTTAAAAACTAGGGGGGGGCGGACACTGCATTTCCTAAACAGTTTAAAAAAAATACTTTTATGATAGCAACAGCAAAATTATCATTTTCCAGTCTGCAATGACTCAATCACAATTAACATCACCATGGGAAAGTATATCCATAAAACTGTTTAAGATAGTATTGGATACTAACTATTTTTTAAATGAATGCGTGCTGGCAAAAGATGACTAATCACGTTAAAAAGATGATTATTCATGCGTGTGATAAATAATTGAATAAATAAATCATTTTATCTATTTTGCTGTACCATACAAAATTGAGGAACTTTTTCCTTTTTAACATATGTTTTCAGCCGCCCCCCCCCTCCCCCAACTTTCGCTACTTTCTTACGCCACTGTATATAGGGTTAGGATTATTGTAATTGTAATAAAAACAAAAACAGTAACAATAACTATTGTTATTGTATTAACTTAACTTAGAAACAATAACAATACTTGTGATTTACAACTATTGTAATAATGTAAAGCAATAACAATAAATATTGTATTGCAACTCATCTTTATAAAACAATATCAATAACTGAAAAAAAAATGTATTGTAATGACCCACTACAATAACAATAAATATTGTATTGTAATTCGTCTTTATAATACAATAGCAATATATTGTTATTGTTATAAAAAAAATTATTTTAGAGTCAAAATTTAGTAAATGTTTTAACAGTCCAGTCTCTGAGATAAGTGACCTTGAAATAGGGTACAAATAATATATAAGTATTGATTCTGTTTCTTTTTTATTTTATAAACTTTATATAGCTCTATAAAAGTGAGTTTAATCGGGCCTGTATTTCTTTTACTGCTGGGGATAGACATGATCAATTACTATCATTTCTTTCACTTAGTAATTTGCTTTTACATTAGACACCTACCCAATTGTTTCGAAACTTACTCAACTCAAACTTATTCTAATATAACTTTGTCTTTTGTTTCCCTTCGGCTTTATGGCTGTATGTGTTTCATAAAGTAACTGGACATCTAGTTGCAAAGTTATAAAAGAGTTTTGTTACATAAATCAAGAACCAATATTTATTTGGTGTTCTAAACTGCCTCATTTTTAAAAAATGATCCACACAAAATTTATTGGTACGGTCTGATAGGTGATGAACAATCTGAAAATGTAGAAAATTTTTTAACAAAACAAAAGTAATTCACATTTTCAGACAATCTAATTGATAATTACTCAGGTTAATGGTTCTTTGATTCCATAACGATGTAAGTTTCCAGAGTTAAAGTTGCAATATCAGATACTTTCTTTTTGGCACAACCTGCAAATATCAAAAACTTTTGATATTTGCAGATTGTGCCAAAAATGAATCACATTAGAAGTGACATCAACCGTAATTGAAAAGAAATTCTCAGACTTTCATTCTTCTATAATTCACCTGCAAACCTCAGCTGCACAAAGACCAATGAATTCATTTTGAGAACGATTTGACAGGTAATACGCCTGAACCTGTTGACCCTTGCCTTATGATAAACTTTTATCACATGTTTCTTGTGAATTAGTTCATATTACTAAATCAGTTCCAGCAATCCTAAGAAACTTTGAGAATCTACAATTAGGTTAGATTTTCCACGAAAAGCCAATCCACATTCACAGAACCACATCAAAGATTTGTTACCGAATTTATCTCCAGATGGTTGCTTCATTGAGGATTTGAAAATTTACAAAATCTTCAATTGACTGATCAGTTTTCATCAAAAGTTCGCGCCAATGTTGCATTGTTTACAGACATTTGAATAAATGTTGCATTGTTTACAGACATTTGAATAAATGTTGCATTGTTTACAAACATTTGAGTGTTCATGCTCAGGAATTCAACTGATAAGACTCTTCCACTTCTTTTCATATCCTCATCATGTAACCATTGCAAAGGATAAAGTCAAGTGTAGAACTTGATTTTTAGTTGAAATTAATTGTCATGGAAAATAAAATACTGTTGTCTTTGCTGAGCGTAATTCAAGCCAATCTTGTAAGAAGGATGCCCTACTTGCATTCTCCTTTTTTTAAACAGACATTGGAAACGTGTAGTTTCTATTATTTTTAGGCATACCCAATGGAAAGGGAATGTGACCAGTCCTGACAAACTTTTCCAGCTGAGTTGAAGAACAATTTTCAGTTTCAAAGTCATCAATCTTAAATGGCTGCATCAAAGCTGGTCCAACAGTGCTAATGATTTTTGTAGAAGAACTATTACTATTATCAATAGAATTATCTTCAAAATGTCTGTACTGTCATTGTAAGCACTATTACCAATAACATAAGATTGGATGCTACTGTCGCCTTTTTGATGCGTTGAGCTAATGAAAATAACATTTGATGTCATAGGAGTAGCCTTAATTCCAACATCAAACAATGTCTGCCTCCCTTTTCGTAGAGCCGCTTCTTTTGCTTTGCTGATTTTTTAATTTGATATTTCTGATACGTGCGTTACATTTTTAATTTTTACAAATACTTTTGTCTAATATTTTTTATATAATAGTTAAATAAACTATATATAATATATAACTATATATATATATATATAATAATTAAATAAAACTAAATTAAATTAACAAATCAAGTTTATTATTATTAATTTATAAATTAAATTATACAATCATGCGAATCGTCTTTGTAAAAATAAACTTTTTCAAATACGTCATTTATAACATTTGTTTTGCACAAGATTTGGTCAACGTGACAACTCAGAAATTTAAAATCATCTTATAAATAAGAATTAAACAAATGCTTTTCCAGACCAGGGTTATTTCTATTGACAATGATAAAATTTGCTTGCTCTATTGTTGGCAGCATTCAATATTTTGTACTATATGTTTGTACAAAGTTGTAACTGATTTGTTTTGAGGCAAAATGAAAAAAAAGAAAACGAACGCGTAAGTTTATTGCATTTCTGCGGGCAAATTTTCTTTGGTCAACCACTGTTTGGGGCCCCTAGTGGCCGGGGCCCCGAGCATTTCGCTTGGGTGACTCTCTGCACGGCCCTGTATATTGGCAATCAAATTTAGGCTTATTAAAAACAAACATAAAAGACTTTAGAGTAAATCTAACTAAACTACTTACCAATAAAAATAGCACTAATTGCTTCATAAAGAGCTGTTCCATCCATGTTTATAGTGGTTCCAATTGGTAAGATGAAACGAGTTATTCTTTTATCAACATTTAAGTTGTCTTCAAGACACCGGAAAGTAATCGGTAAAGTTGCTGCGCTGAAGATATATATTTAAACAAAACTACAGAAAGTAATAACAAATGAAATTAAAAAAGCTTTAAATGTTATACTTTTTAGCGTGTTTTTTTTTGTTTTGTTTTTTTTTACGTTTTTTTATGTTAAAGTACTTATATTTAAATTTTTTCAGCTGGAAAAAATTTACCAGCTGAAAAAATTGTCAACTTTCTAATATTTGTGAAATTTCAAAATATTATCATTTATTTTTTCACCTCTAACAGATGTCGTAGAACTTATGTGATATTTAGCACAATAGTACTTAATGTACTATTGTGCTAAAGTTGCATGTATGATAAATTCTGTGTGCAAAAGATGAGTCATGAAATGTCACTTTACAGCAAAAATATAAAATTGGTGCAGCTGCAACTTTTTTGAAAAGTACGATTTCAAGCCTTGTATAATGAATCGAGGGCTCATTTTTTGAAGAGATACTTAAGATTTAAACTTTTTTCTTTGATACTTAATAAAATTATTATTTAAACGCCGTGTATAACTCATTTTTAAATATTTTTTGACTCATCTCCCTTTTCCTTTTGCATCCAGAATTACTGTGCAAAATTTGACGCCCCATGGACAATCTCTTCTAGAAAAAAGCCCGAAATTACCCCAAAATTAGCAAATAAACTGTTTTTTTATTATTTAACTAAAATTCATTAAACATACAATTGCATACTACTATAAGAATTATGAAATAAGCATTCAGAATTGAGGGTGCAATGCTGTCAGTTTTGTTAGGTCTTTAGGTTTTTTACTGTCTTTTGAACTTGAATTCAGGCATGGCTATTCTTGATTTGAGGGTGTAGCAAATAAATTCATCCTATTTGTTATGACCACACATTTTCTTTGAAGCCTCTCTAACCAATTTAGTTGTTCTTTCAGCAACTTGGTATTGAAACTTTTTAAAAGTCCAGTCAATAGGTATTGATTCTTTCAGCATACTTCTCAAATGTTCTGTAATCAAATCATTTAGAATTAGTGGTGGTGTTACTCTGCTGCACGACCAGTAATTTAGGATGATCTAGTTGCTTGCTTTAAGGTTTGTATTCGGGACATTGAACGTTTTATTCTTAATGTGTCCAACTGTGTAATGACTCTTCAAATGTTAAGGACTCCAATATGGGTCGATGACGTTGTGGTTAACTTGAACCAAGTATTTGTATGACTAAATAAAATGATAAACGATGCCAAGCTCGATCCTTAATTGATTGGTAGAATTTGATGCGAAACCATTTTGGCACATACATATGAATAAAAATCTCTGTGGTAGGTAAGTTGTCTGATTGTCCCTTGGCTCAAACAATTGTTCAATCAGTCTTCTTTTATCTTATCTTCTGATATCTCATATTGAGCCTAGCATCTTTCTCTCTGACTGTTGATACGAATTTTGATCCTCTCATTCTACAGCTGTACTGTTATAACAAGTTTATATTGCGCATTAGAGGAGGTGGCAGGGTAAAACCTATTGCTCTTGACATATCAAAGATTTTTGATAAAGCCTCATATACTGGTTTTCTCCATAAACTCGCTTCATATATATCTTATAACTTTCGAGGTTATTGAATTTTCCATTTCTAGTTACAGTATTAAAGTTGTCATTCATAAAAAAAAACTCTCCTTCATTTGCATTACATTTTATTTTTTTATTTTATATTAATGATCTTTTTGACAGTCTTATACCTAAATTAACTGCGTTTGCTGACAACAAAATTATAAACCTCACTTACTTTTTGGATACTTATTACTTAAAATAGTCATTCGATATTGAATCTGGTTTCTCTTCTGAGGCAGCTTTTTTTAGTTATTTTTAGGTGTTTCAAAAAGTGTAAACGTCCAAAATTGTAAACGTCCAAATTTAGGTTGACATCCTCAACTTTTTTGAGCACATGTCCTACCGTCATTGGTTTGTATCCCTTTCTTTTTGTTACAAAAACTTGTTATATGTTAAAAATCATGGCTGTTGTTCAAAAAAGCTATCATCTCTTTTTCCATTAACCAAACTTCACTCTCTCGTGACTCGTTATTCAGAAAAGTTGTTACTCTATTTATTCTTTCTTGCTCTAAAACAACAACAACAACAACAACAACAACAACAACAACAACAACAACAACAACAACAACAACAACAACAACAACAACAACAACAACAACAACAACAACAACAACAACAACAACAACAACAACAACAAGCTATTTATTTTCCGTAAATCATTTAACAATAGTTTTGATAATAATGATAATAATAATAATAATAGCAAAAATATATAATAATAAGATAAAAAAAATAAATATACAAATTATAGTAATAGTAACAATAAGTATGTCTACAATAATTACAATGAAAAATAATAATAATAATAACTAATATTAATATAATAATAAGTTAATGAGTTATTAGGATGGTGTCACTCATACAGAAATCTGATCAAAGGAGTGACACCAATTTTTAATATAATATAAGTAGTAATAAGCAAAGAAACACACTGAAACACATGGACTCACAAACCAAAGCACATAAAATATACATCAAAACAAACATGTAGAAATCAATGTGCAGGTTTTACTAATAAAAAAAAATTAAAAAGTGCTGATGATAATTGTAATAAATACGAAAAGAAAACTAAAACAATATTTAAATCATAAGGATAATAATGCCAAAAAGTTAGAATAAAATGTTTTTTAGAATTTTTTAAATTGATATTGTTTAAGATGGAGTAAAGGTATTTTAGGACTCATTTAAAATGCATGCAAGGCTCCTGTTCTATTCACAGACGCACTGATAAACAATAGAACGTTTACCATACTTCTGGGTTTTAAAAGATGGTACATTTAGTTTTCCATTGTGTATATTTCTAGTCGAGTAGGAATGTAATAGTCTACTTTCTGTGAACAAGTTTGTGATAGGAGATGGTATATTTTTATTTAAGGAGTCAAAAACAAAAAGAAGATTAGCATACTTTACTAGCGCTGGAAATGTTGGAATGAAATTTAATTGGTTGGAAGTTTATTAATCTGATGGATTGACGCTGAGACGATAGCAACTTATTAATGAGATAGTTTCCAACTTGACCCCAAACTTGACAAAAATAGCTAAGATGAGATGAGAATAATGTATAGTAAATACTGCTTAGTGTAACTTTATTGACATAGTGGCGAATTATTGAAAGCATACCGTTAGCTCGAGTTTCTTGCTTAGTTCATCAATATGAAAGTTCCATGAAAGATAACAATCAATTAATGCACCAAGATATTTAATAACTCTTGAAGGATATAGCCGTTTATTATTAATTTTGATATTGATTTCAACATTTTTAAAGAAATTGTTTTTTCTTGGAGATGAAAAAAAAATTAGTTCAGTTTTTTCGGCGTTGAGACATAATAGGTTAGCATTTAACCAGTGAACTATACCTTTTAGATCTGAATTAACATTTTTACATAAAGAATGAAACGATTTGTTGATGTGCAAGAGATTTGTATCATCAGCAAACAGATGGACTGAAGAGAAGTGAACAGCGTTGATAAGGTCGTTAACATAGATTAAAAACAAAAGAGAACCTAGAACAGAACCTTGAGGAACACCACACAAAACTAATTTATAACTAGAATTGAAACCATTAATACTTACAAATTGTTTTCGATCTGCAAGATGAGACCGAAACCAGTCATTTACAAGACCACGAATTCCATAATGTTTTAATTTGAAATCAAAATAATATGGTCAACAGTATCGAAAGCTTTTTGTAAATCGATAAAAACACCGCAAACGAAACGACCAGTATCAAGAGCTTTCCTTATTTTTTCTGTTATACTTATTAATGCATGGCAAGTAGAATGTTTTGATCGAAAACCAAATTGAAAATCATTTAAACAATTAAATGAGTTTAGAAAAGAGTACACTCTAGAATACATAAGTTTTTTAAGAAGCTTACTTATATTAGATAAAAGAGAAATAAGTCTGTAGTTAGTGCATGAAAGTTTAGAGCCATTTTTAAATATTGGAATAACGCAAGATAATTTCAAAATATCAGGAAATTTTCCATTTTTAAATGAGATATTAAATAGTTTAGAAAGAATATTTGAAAAATCGTAGTTAAAATCTATTAGAATATTTGTGGGAATACTGTTTGGACCTAATGATGTTTTTGGACTCAATTTAGATATAAGAGATAAAATTTCAAAAGTATTTGTTGAAGATAATTATAAACTATCTAAATTTGGATGTTTAAGATACTTTTGATAGTTAATGTAAGATGAATGAATATTGGATTTGAGTTTATGAGCAACATTTGTAAAAAAATTGTTAAATGATTCAGAGATTAAGGTCGGGTCAGTTATATATGTATCATTTTCTTGCAAACAGTTGGGAGATGATTTATTCAAATTTTTTACATTAAATAGAGTGTTAATACCTTTCCAAAGTTCGCGAAGATTTTTTACATTTTCTGAGAAAAAATTTTTTAAATGGTTTTTTTTACTAAGTTTAATTAATGTAACTATCATATATTTATATCTTTTAAAAATACTTTCAAATTTTTTTTTATTAATAAGATCTTTAGATCTTAACATTTTTTTGGAAAAGATTGCGCACTTGAATAGAATTTATAATTCCTATTTGTAATCCATGGTTTGGATCAACGTTTGAAGTTTTTTATACTGATTTTTTTAAGTGGGGCGTAACGATCTAAAATCAATGTTGTTTCAGTAATAAACGTTTGGAAACATGTATTAGTATTATTGGACTTTGTAACATCTTCCCAATCAATTTTTGATAAATCATATTTAAAGTTTTCTTTATTAAAGTTTTTAAAACTCCTGCTATATAAATTGTGTCTGTGTGGTATAAATAATTTATTGAAATTGGGACAAATACAAAATTGAGGTAAGTGAAACAGAAGCAATATTAGAGAGAATGATAGAAACAATAAGTAGGAAGTAAATAGCTATGTTATTAATATTTGTTAAAATAAAATAATGCGTATGAATAGATAATTAAGAACAGCCAATTAAAGTATCGAAAAACTTACAATTATAATAAATAATATTAATAGTAGTTAAACAATAACGCAACAGCCAAACAAACAGTAAACTATAACAAAAACAAAAATTTTGAAGAAAATTATAAAATCAGACTAAAAGAGTAAAAAAAATAATTAAAGTTAAGAAAAATGTAGATTAAAAAGTATAATAACTATAATAAAAATAAATATTAAGTATTATATATCAAAATAAGTAATCTAATAATAAATTGTAGTAATATAAATAAAAATAATAGTGTAATAAAAAAATAAGATAAAAAATAATAGATACAAATAAAAACTATAAAAATTATCTACTCTTTTCAGAAACTGATCTTCTCTTCTGATCTTCTTAATAATTTATCAACTTATCTCTTTTTATTTAATTATTTTTCTTTTCTTTTCTTTTTCTTTTTTTGTTAAGTAAAAATCGATGTTCTAATTTTCTTTTATTTGTTTTTTTTAAATGTTGTTTTTGAGTGTTTATTTGTTAAAAGTTTCTTTTTTTATATGTTTTTTTGTTTTACTCTTCTTTTATTTTTGATATTTTTGAATTTTTTTTTTGAAACAATTGATAATTAATTCAGTTTTTAACAACTAAAAGCATTTGTTTTTTTCTTGTTTCAATCAATCTACTATTTTCTCACACATTAATGCTTTGCAATACTTGAGTTTTCCTCACACATCATTCTTGCCTCATCTTCATGTTTTTTTTTTTTTTTTGGTAAACAGTTTGTTACTAGTTCTTTAACCAATGTTATTGGATTGTGGTAACTACAGACTTTAATATTGTTTTTTGCAGCATTGCTGGGAAAAAATTAGTTAAAAATTTGACTTAATTGATGAATAGTTTTAGAACCACTTAATACAATACTTATTAATATAGAGTTGATATAATTAATATAGAGTATAGATTTAAAAATTAATATTAAAAGGTTTTTAACTTATTAATAAAGATATAATTTAATATTAAATCATTAAATTATTTAATTAAAAAGTTTTAAATTTTAAATTTTATTTTTGAAACCTGGAAGCTGTTCCAAAAGCTGTTGCCATGGCACTAAGCATTCCTTTAAGATAACTGTACGGATTTTTTTTACAAACAACAAAGTATATTAAAGGAAGAACTATGATACCATGGATCAACAGAGCAGCAAGCACGGTACCAATAAACAAAGCCAAACTCGAAAATGTTTCGTTTACTTGCGACATTTCAGCAAACTTTGCTAGAATTAGCGACCCAATACCAATGGGTGAAATCCTAAAAAAAAAATTCAAAAACTATATATGCATCATTTGCTGTTTTGAAAGATTTTAAGTTAAAGACATTTTTGCTTTACCATTTTTAATCACTCGTTTCCGTAAGTTGATACGGAAAGTAGTTAAAAATAAAACCATGAAGGTAAAGCTTTTATAAAAACGTCCAAAAAAGGTTCTTTATAGAATTTTTTATATTATAGAATTTTTTATAATATAAAATTTTTTATATATTTCTTCATCTTGACGTATGAAATCTAACTTAACGTATGAAATATAACTTAATGAAATATACGTATGAAATATGAATATAAATATGACGTATGAAATATAACTTAAATGAATTTTTATTTTTTTTAACAAACTTTGATTTAATTTGAATAGAGCTGTCTTTTTCAAAGCCAAATTAGTATCCCCCAGGGCCGTCCCGAATGTTGGGGGGTAGGGGTGTCTACCCCTCCTACAGAGTATATTTGTCGGCAAATTGGACACTGGAGTCGGCAAAATGGGATTTTTAGTTGGCAGTTGGCATATGTCGGAAAATAAGTACATATTTTTTTTAGATAAGTTAGTCGTCAAATTTTTTTGTTTATTTTAGTCAGAAAAAAACAGATACCTTACCCTCTCCCCCCTCCCATTAAAATCTCTTTGGGACGGCTCTGGTATTCCCATCCGATACCCCAACCTTAGAAAAGACTTGAGTGGTATTTTTGTTTATGTAGACGTTATCATTATCATTATTATTATTATTATTATTTGTCATTTGACACATTTTACAATGTTAACCTTACATTCAAATAAATTTATACAAATGCAAGCTGACTGGGGCAAGTAGAAGACAAAATGTCTCATCATCAAGCCCCTTCGTGAAAATAAAAAAAAATAAAATTTTACAATTTCCAACAATATATAAAAGAGTGAAATTACAAATCTGTACATATGCGTATACATATCCACTAAACTTCATAATATATATTTAAATATACAAAAGATATTTTGAATTTAAAAAGATTCCGAACATTTTATAGATTTAAGTTCATCTACTCATATTTTTTTTTAAAATTAAAACAGACAAACAAAAAGAAAAAAGAAGAATATATATAAGAAGGATATATGTATATATATATATATACATATACACACATACATATACACATACACATACACATACATACACACACACACACACACACACACACACACACACACACATATATATATATATATAAATATATATATATATATATATATATATATATATATATATATATATATATATATATATTTATATATATATATATATATTTATATATATATATATATATATATATATATACATATATATATATATATATATATATATATATATATATATATATATATATATATATATATATATATATATATATATATATATATATATATATATATATATATATATATATATATATATATATATATATATATATATATATACACACGTATACACATTTACATACTTACAAATATATATATATATATATATATATATATATATATATATATATATATATATATATATATATATATATATATATATATATATATATATATATATATATATACATACACACACATACATACATGTATACATACATACGTACATACATACATACAACACACCAGGCGCGGATCTAGGGTATAGCCGTTGTGGCTAAGGCTACACCGTAAAATAATCAACGAAATAAAAAACAATATAATACTCCAACATATTTTTAAAATAAAAATAATATAAATAATTAAGATAAGTTTATTTTTATTTGCTGTGTAAATTCGGCTATAAAAGCGATTACTTAAAACCAAAAAAAAAAGGAATTAAAAAAAAGATCGGTTATTGTATATCGGTTTGTGGCTAAGCCACAAACGACCTGATTTTACGGCATAAGCTGACTAAATTATTGTGTTTTTTTTTAATGTAATATATTTTTATTCAAAAGTCGTATGCCGTCAACACTCGTAGCCTTTTTGCCTTGTGGCTGTACTTATTTCCCAGTATAGCTATTTTCAAATAAGCAAAGCGCCTTTATTATTTTCTTAGTAAGTTGGTAATTATGGCGGATATTTTTTGAATAAAAAACTGTTCCAAATGCTATTGATTCACATTCATAACAATAAATGTTGCGAAAAAAATTCTTTACAAAACGAAATGGTTTGAATATCTCACCAGTTTAATATCGTAGTTAAACTTTTGGTTTGAAAATTCCCTGATATAAATGTTTTTATGCCATATTATAAAATGGATAAAAGTTTTGACAAAACTTTTGTAGCTTTAAGGTATATTTTTATCTATATTTTCACGGACTATATTTGTAACAAAAATAACTAGCTTTTTATAGCTGTAAATAGTTTACTTATATACAACTGTTTCTGTGCTTATTGTTTTAAAATTCTTATAACATTTAACTGAAACATTATCATTTTATTAAACAGTTTAATACTATAAATAATAGTTTTGCCACAGAGCTATATAAACAATTTTTATTGTTTTTTGCTATAAATGTAAATAATTAAAATATTACATTTTTATTTCTTCAAAAAAGTTTTAATCTTCAAAATGAAGCTTTAATTAAAGAGGATCTTATAAGTTGATTCTATTATTAATTAGAGTCAAATATAATACAATATTGGAGATTATAAAAGTGAGTCCTCAAGAAAGAGTTGAAGGAAATATTTTCAAACTACTTAGTTTTGGAATTTATGCAGGTGACACCATCTTATAAGATCATTTAATATCAGCCCCTAAAAATATTACATTATTTCTTAAACCACACAAAATCAACTTATGGAGTGTTGTAGTGAGGCTTTTGAGAAGATTCTTATTTCTGAAATCAATAATAGTAAATACTATTCAATTTTAGCTGATAAAGCATCTGATTGTGCCAATCTTAAACAGTAGTCTATCGTTATAAGATATGTAGGCAACAACTAAAATACTCGTAAAGATTTCTTAAAGTTTGTTAACTGTCCTTAATTATTTAAATGTGCTCTTTTTTAAAAAAAATTAGAGGCATGTTTAAATAATTATCTTTCTGTTGGTAAAGCAAAGCTAATCAATGTCTGTTTTACTTGTTGGGTTTAAAAACACAAAAATCTAGACATTTTTTTTTAGCTAAAGTCTCTTCATAGTTGATGTTTGAATTTTATTTCAATGTAACTTTAGTTTTAACCAAAATTTGATGGGTTGAATTTTTTAGATTGTAATTAGATTCCAAGATAAGCAATACAACATGTCTCAAATTTCAGAATCTTGAAATTGACAATTAAACACGCTTCAAGAGATTAAATTTGGTATTGATTTATATCGCTATAACTGGTCTAATATTGCTTTTGAATTAGCTATGACTTTAAATGTAAAAGAAAACAAAAAACTAGAAAATGTAGAAAGCAAATCAATCATGATAATCATTCATTATCTGATTATTTTAAGCTTTCTATCACTTTACCTTTGCTGGACCATCTTGTTAATGAGCTTATTAATTATATAAGATTTCAAACAGAAAGCAAGTTGGTTTATATGGGATGTTTGCAGTTCCAATTGTTATGTTAAGTTACCTGAAAACTAACTAAGATTTGCAAATCTACTTTCATGAATTTCTAGATATCTATCATTCCAACTCTGCATTCAACCTTTATTCATGCAGAGTTGGATTATGGAAGCCTCTTCAGAAAGATCAGTCAAAATCCCCACCTAGTATTTTTTAAACAAAAGTCATGACAATGACTGATTTCCCCCCCCCCCCAACATTCTTGAATACTTTAAAGACTTAAATCTAGGTCCCAAGAGATTAAAAACTTAGTCAAGTAGTAGAGTGTTAAAAAAATCATTGAATGACATAGCTTTAATGTCAATTTATATTAAAATGGTTCTAGGTAAAGACAGGGTTGACAAAAAAATTTCAGCTTCTGGAGAGAGATGTTTAAAGTTCCTATTTAAGCCTTAAATAATTGGCTATGTTTGAATAATAATTATATTTATATGTGAATAAAATAATTGAATATCTCTTATATTTACAATCACTTTTTTGTTTTTTTCATTGTTTAAATTTCTCTTAGAGCATCTTGTTTTTTATTTGTTATAAATGTTTAATAAATGAATTTATTTTCTATTTTGTGTACATTTCATAATCCTTGACATCTAAAATGTTAAATATTTTAAATTAATTTGTTCTTAACTAAATAATGTAAACCACTAAATAAAAAATTTAAATGTGTGTTAATTTCGTTTAGAGTATGCTATAAAAAGAGTGCTCGGTAATCATAAAAAACAAAGATGTAATAAATTAGCTTCCTTAGGATTCTATAGATAGTGAGACTGTTCAAATTATTTTTTTTTAATATATCTTTATATATAGTAGTTTGCAGCTCTAAAGTAAATATCTTTTGAATAAATCACGATATCATATTGTTAATGCAGTAATAGTTGCATTTATTCTATTAGTAACAAAAATATAAAGGAAAGAATCCAGAATTGGAGAGCTTACTTAAGGCAGCGTTACAACTTACATATGGAGTGCAAAGTCCTATGGCTTACCTTCTAGTTGGTGCACTTCGTTAAGTAAGTAAGACATTATGTCTAAATTACGAACAGAATAGCCAAGGCAAATATTAAAAATTTTACCATTAATTATTTTACTAGAATCCATTAAAAATAAATGAAAAATATATGTGTGCAAAAAGTGAATTAAAGACGCTCAGATAAAAAAACTGTCTGGCGGCGTCTACATGACGTAATTATCGGACGTCTTTTTGACGTAAACTAACCGACTTCTTAAATAGTTGCAATTATGACGTAATTTTACAAATTTTAGCTACACCTATATAAAATCCTAGATCCGCCCCTGCACACATATACATACATATATACACACATATACATATATACACATACACATATACATATATATATATATATATATATATATATATATATATATATATATATATATATATATATATATATATATATATATATATATATATATATATATACATACATATATACATATATACGTACACATGCAAAATACATTTATATATAAATATTTTTTAATTAAAAAAATGAAAGAATGTACGTATGTTTAAATTTAGTAAGTGTTTTTTTATAGCTCTTTTAAATATATCAATAGATTTTTTTTTTTTTTTATATTTTCGTCAAGAAGCGAGTTCCACAAGCGTGGTCCCCGACATGTAATTGAGAAGTCAGACTTTTTGAGTGATGTTAGTGGGATGTAGTAATTATTTATTGAGTGTCTTGTTTTATATTTATGATTAATAAGAGAGAAGTTTTTATAAAAATTTTTTGGAATTAATTCGTTTTGAAGTTTAAACATAAATAACAAGTTATGGTAGATGTTTAATTTGTATACATTTAGGGCATTTATTTCCTTGAGTAACGGCTCGGCACTTTCGTATCTATCCATGCCCGAAACTAATCGACTTACTTTTGTTTTGTGTGAATAGTTTTTAGGAAAGACGAGTGATTGTTTGCCCAGGCAATATTACAATAGTTAATATGACTATGTATAAACGAAAAATATAAATTTTTTAAACATATTTTGTTCAAAAGAGGTTTAGTCTTATACATTATCCCTAAAGTCTTTGAGACTTTGTTCTCGACTAGCTTTATTTGGCTTTTCCAATTTAAATGTTCGTCAAAAATTATTCCAAGTATTTTCATTGAAAACACTCTTTTTATTTTAATATTGTTAATAGTTAGTTCTGGTAGTGTAAGTGGAAGATTCTCGGATTTAGATGGTTTAGCAAACAAAATATATTTTGTTTTTTCAATATTCAATGAAAGTTTATTTGCTATAAAACCACTCATTGAGATATCTTAGTTCAGTGTTTACATTATAAAAAATATTTTTTATATTTGAATCAGAATAGAAAATAATAGTGTCGTCAGCAAAAATAATATAATTAAGTATTTTTGATGACAAATAAATATCATTAATATAAATTAAAAAAACAGTAAAGGTCCAAGTATTGATCCTTGTGGAACTCCACAACTTATTGACTCAAATGGGGAGCTTGTTAAATCAAATGATACTACTTGTTTACGATTTTCTAAATAACGTTGCAGCCACTTTAAGTTAGAGTGAGCCACTCCGTAATTACATAGTTTGTTGATAAGAACCTTGTGGTTGACAGTATCAAAGGCTTTGGATAGATCTAGAAATATTCCGAGTGTGTAACTATTATTTTCAAAACCATTAGAATTTGGTTCGCAAGATCAATTACTGCATACTCCATGAAATGATTTTTGCGAAAACGAAACTGTTTATGATAAAGAATGTTTTTATTTTCAAGATAATTGTACTGCCTGTTGTGCATAATACGCTCTAGTATTTTAGAAAAACAGGAAAGTATGGAAATTGGTCTATAGTTAGGTTTTATCGAATCATCGCCGCTTTTGTATATTGGAATTATTTTTGCTAGTTTTAGTTGGTCAGGAAAAATGCCGTTTCTTAGGGAAAGATTAAAAATTATAAAAAGAGGTTTCTCAATAATATCAGAGACCGCTTTTACAACATCAAGGTTAATTTCATCTAGACCCGCACTCTTATTCATCAACCAGAAGCTCCGACTCATCCATTATGAAATCTGATTTTTTCAAAAAGGATTCAAATGATTTACTGCCCTCAGGAATTGCACTGGCTAATTTTTTCCCATTTGTGTCAAAATTAAAAATTTTGAATATTTTTGAAGGAGTTTAAAGGAATTTATTAGAATATAAAATAAAAGAGCTTTCCCTTAGAAATGGCACAAAAATTTAAATATAAGTTTAGAGAAGTGAAATTACAAAACTTTTAATTAAGTTTATTAACAAATATAGTAACAAATCTAAAACTAAAAAAACAAAATTTAATCAACTTATGCTTTTAACCATATTTCAATTATTTTAATTCGTAGTCTGATAGTTTTCCCAAATTAAAACAAGTTGTCTAAATGTTGATACTTAAAGTTAAAATATCCTATATCAGTGGGCACAGAACGTAAAAAAGACGTCTTTTTAACGTTTTTTGAATGTTTTAGACATCTTTTGAACGTTTTGGACGTCTTTTGAACGTTCAAAAGACGTCTTATTTTGGTGTGCTCCTGTGCCCACTGGGATTATGTTATTAAAGTAAAGAATCTGTAAAAAGCAAATCTTTATTTTAGAAATGAGAAATCTGTTTCCAATTTGTAGATAAAAAATGTTTTCAAGCATAAACAAGGCAATCATTTAACTAATAAAATAGTTTGTGAATTCTAAAATCAATTGGATAATTAATTCTTATCTAATTTAAGTATGTGTAAAGTGCAAAACAAACATCAATCTAAAAAAAAATCGAATAGAAGTTCGACAGAAAACAATACGTAAACATTTCTTTTTTTCCACAAACTAAACAAAACAAAATAAATACCTGTTAGCCAACACAATATTCTAAATAACAAAACTAATATTAAAAGACAAACATTCTATAATTTGTGAGTGAACTTTAATAAAACATTGGCATGGTCTATAGAGTTAAGAGATTTTTTTAAACTTTTAGGGTCTTTAAAAGTTTATATTTTCCTTTTATACACAGTTAACTTACGGCAACATTTTATGAGCAAGTACTAATAACACTAGGGTAGGAAAACCTTATAGCAAACAAAAACATGCTGTTAGAATCGTATTTTAAGCTGGTAAAACTATTCCTTGTAAACTTCGTTTCCGTATTCTTGGAACTTTAAATAATTTTAAACTTAAGATCCATCTTGTTTTACAGTTCATGTATAAAGCAAATTATGGAATGTTCATAATTTGTTTTATACATGAACTTGTTTTTTAAAATTTACACCATAAGTATGCTTTATAAGACTTAACATTTCCTTTGTTCAACCACAATCTTATTTAATACAGTTCCGAATCGCAGATTAGTTTGTTTCCGAGAAAAATATTTCTCCAAATCGGTTTAAAACTGAATCAAAACGAGGTTTAATACACATTAGTTTTGGTTTACCTTGTTTTAAGTGTTTTAATCTTGTTTTAATTAATAAGATAAAACAATTGAAAACTAAAAAACAGTGTAATTATTTTAATTTAGATTCTAAATTAAATTACCCTGTAAATTAAAAAAAATATGTATTGCTAATAATTACTATACACAGTCACATTTTCCCCACTATTGTTTGTTTGTTTATTTGTTGTTTGTTTGTTTGTTTTTGTTTCTAATTTATTTATTGTATTATCTATTAAATTTATTTGATTTGATTTTGTTCTTAACATTTTTGTAAACATCAACTTATCCCTCAGTTTATAATATAAAAAAAAAAACAGTAACTTTAAACAGTACTTTAAAATGTGTTATATACACATGTAAACTCGAGTAAAACTGTCGGTGAAATCAGTGTGTTTTTGATTTTTGGTGTGTTTTTGAAATCTTTGTAGTGGTTAATAAAGTGTAAATCTTTTTTATGAGACAAAGATTTTCAAAGATTATTAAACGTTTCAAAGCCATCACAATGGTTAATGGCTGAAGAATTTCTAACTAAAAAAGAGAAGTTAGCTGTGGTCAACAAGGTGGTTGTGTAAACAATATTGATTTTATAGTTTACATAATGTAAACAATATTGTTTGCTTTTCTGTTATAATTAAAAGTATTGAGGAGAATCATCACAATGTAAACACATTTTTTCCATTCCTTCAATTCAATCATTTAAATTGTGTACTGTGCTTTAAAATGGAACCAGGAATCATAAACTCATTAACATTATTTTTGGATTACATAAAGCCTTTATTTCATCGTACTTAGATTACCTTACAGTCTTTATTTCACCTTGAATTTTAAATTGATATTATTTTAAATGAAAAACAACTATAAATTTTATGTTAGAGCGGGATTAGTTGAGCCATTTTTGTTATATCTAACTGATCTTAATTCTGTGCGTCGGATTTACATAACTTTTGATGTTTGAGAAGATAAAAGCTAATTTTTTTTTGAAAAGAAACAAACAAATTTTTTTTTTTTTTTGATCAAAAATTAAAAAACTAAAAAATTTTATTTGAATTAAAATTGAATATGATTAGAATCTACTTTAAGAAACATCTTGACAGACAGAAGATAACATAGCGCGTCAAAATAAATATCTGAAGCAGCGCGCAAAAATCGTAAAGTGATACTAAAAAGGTTTGTAAAAAATAATAAAGATGCGGCTTTCAATTTTATTTTCAACACTCTCAATATTGCGTCTCCCTACAGGAGTGGTTATTTACGCTTAAAAATTAAGTAAAACGAATTCAACATAGAATTTTTAAATATGAATAAAACAACTACTTGATGTACCAGTTTTTACCGCCCATAATGTAGCAATATGTAACGCTTTCTTTACCATAATCTTAGTTAAATACAAAAATAAATGTTTGCAAAAATTATTTATTTTGTTTAAAAGATAAAAATACTATAACAACTCTTACCACATTATTCCGGAAACCATTTTTGCAATGATTGCGTTAAATGCGCAAATAAATTTGATGAATGGTTCTGCTTCTTTTCCTAAGCCGTTAGCTATTTTTCCGACGATGATAGAAAATACAATCAAACCTAAATAGTTTGTTGCAGGGTTTGACGCTAGACCTTTTCCAATTTTGTAAGATCTTACGATATTTTTAGTATAAGTTGAGTTTCCATTTTGGTTTATTTGTAAGGATATAGTATTATTGGATAACATTTCGTTTATTTCTTTATTGGTCAAGTTGGTTGCGTCAAATGTAATGTTTTGTTTTGTTACTTCGTAACCAATTTGAATTAAAGTTTTATCCTAAACGGCAGGTAAAAAAAAAATTAAATTTCTAATAGTAAAAATATCAATGAAAAGGATATAAAATTATATAGGTATAATAACATAAAGTTACTTGTTCCAAACATGCTCTGAAAATATTTGAAGGAAACATATTTCTAAAAAGAATCACAGAGTAATCAGTCATCAGTAATCAGCGGCAACGGAAAAAAGCTTTTCAAATCTTTAATTATTTTTTTATGTCAAACAAAAAAATATATTAGTTTTTTGAAGCATTTAAAAAAAAAATCATTTAAGATAATAAAAATTAAATATTTAAAGATTTTAAAATCATTAAAGATAATAAAAATTTATTTAAAGATTTTAAAACTAATCTCAATCGTTTAAATCCAGCAGAAAAATATATTTTTTTTTTTTAATTTTTTTTTTTAACACCTCTTGTCTCATCGAGGCCTTGACGTGAGCCCATTTCAATATCTGTATTGTGTCACCAAATCGTGTCATTCAGAAAATTTGTTTTAAAATTATAACAAAGATTTGAGACTTTTTTATATAATATTTCCAAAGTGCATCATTAAAGCGTTTTTTTCTTTTCTTTCTTTGTTTTTTAACTTAAAAATATAATACCCAATTTTTTTAATTTAATAATTTAGAATAAATTTAAAGCGTCAAAATGGTTTGCATATAATTTTTAATTTAACCGAACAAAGTATTTTGAGTAATATTCATTGAGAAGAAAACTGAAAAAAAATCTTTTAAATTTTAAATACCATTTAAACATTTAAAAATTTTTAAAACAATTAATAAGTTTATCTTATACCTCATTCACACCGTCAAATAAAAGTTTTAACAATAATAATTTTAGCACGTTTTTTTATTTTTTGATACGCATAAAATTTAGAGGTGGTTTTAATTCCAAGCAGAAAGCGCAAAAAGGTTATTAAATCAAATAACCTCGCTATGTTGTTATTATTAATTGTGTTTGAATAAAACACAATTAGGACACAGTTTATTTATATGCAGGTTTGGTATGAATAGGGTATAAGTAAACTTGTTTATTAAATTTAAATTTTATTATGATAAGTAATTAGGAGAGATAAGAGAAATGATGATTCTTAAAGAAAAATATGAAAAATAAATAAAGTGTATTGGAAACTATTTAACGCAAGTTATATATAGTCTCCACAATCAACTTAATTCACAATCTAACCAATTTCATCAGCTTTCATTAGGTTAAAGAAGTGGTCTAAAATTCATGATTAAATATTTCTATATTGATTTTTTTCTATTTTGATTTTTTAATGAGGAGAATATTAAGTTAATTAAGATAATACAAAGAAATATTAAATTTTGGCAAGCATAAATCTAAATGTAGATATGTAACTAGCGGGGTGCCACAGGACTCTGCGCTTGGTCCACTTCTTTCATCTTACATATAAACGACCTGCAGGACCATATTACTCATAACATAAAGATTTATGCCGATAATTTCAAAATACTTGCAGCTCTAGAATCTATGGAGGACAAAACCTTGCAAATTGACATAGATACCTAGTAAATTGGTCGCATAAATGGAATATGCCTATCAACTTCGATAAGTGTAAAGTTATGTACGTCGGGCGTGGCAATTCTGAATCTATTCAAAATTATTTGATACTTGACTTAAGTGGAAACAAAATTCAACTGGACGTCACTGAAAACAAACATGATCTGGGAGTATTTCTATCAGACAATCTTAAATTAAGCAATCAAGTCGAATCAGCAGCAGCAAGAGCCAATAGTAAACTTGGTAGACTAAAGAAATATTTAGAAGTTGTCAAGAGAAGTTGAGAAGAAGTTGTGGACTCTTTTTGTGAAAAATACTATACAAAACCTATATAATACTTCATTTAGAAATTTCTATCTAGGCTTGGTCACCACACAAGGAAAAATGACATTGCTATTCTAGAGCAAGTATAGCATAAAGACACTAAAACAATCACGGTAATAAAGCACATGCCGTATGAAGAAAGACTTCGTCACCTTGACTTATAGAAAGGAGATTTTAAGGTGATCTGATTCAGCAGTTTAAACTTTTAAAATCTATTGATCAAATCATTTTTGAGAACCCTCATGTCTGTGCACCATCAATTTCCAAATACAGTTTGCGTGGACATTTTCTTCGACTTGAATGTCAAAGGGTAAAAAACTGCAAAGAAAGATTTAATTTCTTCTCTAATCGCATCGTCATTGTATGGAATACGTTACCTTTAGACGTCGTAATTGCTAAATCAGTCAACTTGTTAAAAGATAGTGTTTGCAAATTTAAATTCAATATATATGAATGATAGGTCTTTTCTTTCAGCATGAAGTGAATGGTGAAGCACTTTCTCATCAAAATATATAAATGCATTATATGCGTATATAACTGATTTCTGAAATACATAAACTCAAACTCATATGTTTATAAAGAAGCGCTTTTTAAGCAAGATTTTTTTTTTTTTAACAAAAAAATTTTTTAAATAAAGTTAAGGAAAAACTAAGAAAAAATTAAGAAAAAAATAAGAGGAGAAGGAAAGATTACAATAAATAATAAATATATTAACTTTTTTCTAATTATTACTTTTACTATTTTTATTAACGATTTAAGATTATCAATTATTTTTTAAATATTATTGTGTAGATAATCAACATATTTTTCATTCTAATTGATTTCACTGTTGGTGTTTACGTAATGTCATTTTTTAACTGTTTGTTTTGCCTAAAAATCTGTATTTATTTACAAATGTATAAATAATTGTTGTTGTTGTTACTATTAATCATAATGATATTTTATTTTTTGTATTAGTTGCATTGGTATTTTACTTTCATTCTTTTTTATTTTATTTTGAATATTTAAATAATGTTGTAAAAAAAATAGATCAAAAATATCAACTAAAATTTTTTAAATAAACTTACAAATAGTTATAAAATAGTTAGTAGAAGCTAACTACTACTATCATTGTAAACTTTTACCTAATAAGATCCATAAATGAATCCAACGGGCGAACAAGATCTTGCTGTGTTTTAATTTCTGGATGCGCCATTCCTTTTCCCGGTTTAATAACTGCAACTAGAGCTACTCCTAATAACGCTGCTAGGACGGTTGTAGATAAATAGTAGACAACTGCTCTTCCACCAATTTTTCCAGACACTCTATTGTCTAGGGTTGAAAGACCAACTATAAGACTACATGTTATTAGGGGGAGTATTATCATCTTCAAAGTTCGAATTAGGATCTCCCCCGGAAATCCCAATATAATCAAAGCTGTGTATTGATCTGGTTGTTTGAGCTTTTGTATCGGGCCGTTGATGTATACACCGACAAGAACTCCAGTAAAAGCGGAAAAAATTATTAAAAGAACCAGGAGATTTTTTTTTAAAAATTTTTTTATTTTACTTGAGCAGAGTGAGTTGCTATGCAGCGATGTCATTTTAATGATTAACTAAAAAGAAAAAGAAAATTAAAAAAAATTTAAAAAATATTTACTCTTCTTAGCCTCTGTCATTGTGAAAAAAACTTGAACAAGCGTAGCCAGCCATCTTTGATGATTAATAGTTATATTTAATGTTTAAACTGCTATTAAAATAGTATTAGTGTGAAATTAAATTTTTCACAATGTACTTTTTAGTAGTTGAATTCTTTTTATCTGGAATAAAAAAAAAAAAAAAGATGTATTCAAAGAGTTAATTTCAAAAATCAACATTTGTCTGTATTTATATTTGGTATACTTTTAAGTAGAAGCAAATAGAAAATTGAAACCTTAAACTTATAATGTAACTATTTCATAGTATTCTACGAAAAACTAGTAATAAATAAATGAGTTAAACAAATAAGTTAACTTATTTTCCCTGAGACTTCAAAAACACAATTTGAGGAAACCGGTCTGACAGATCCTGTTTATGCTTACTGTGCGTAGGTTTAAATTTACCTTGAAAATTATTTGTCTCAAGTAAATACAAGTTTAATGAAAGTATTTCTTTGTTGAGCAATAAAGTGTTCAAAAAAAATTAAGAGAGTACTTCCTCACAAAATACTTTTCGCAAGACTCAATTAAATTTTTTTTAGATAATGCCATAATTTGAAACATCCCTAGAATATACTTTAAAACCCTGCAATAGAAAACCATTTATAAATCATTTTCTAATTTTAAAAATATCAAAAAATATTTTTTTACCGGGAGGATGAAGATAACTTTTTTATATTAGGAAAGTGTTCATGATTTTTTTATAAATATTTTGGTAATGTACTTGACCCTCATTTAACAAAACTCATTTTACATCAACAAAAAATATTCTTTACGACTTTGTTTAATCCACACACTTTACTTTAAGACTTTTTCTCAGACTTCTACTAATCTTTACCAAAAAAAGCAGTTACATTAGTTTAAAAACCGTTATTTATGATAACATATGGTGGAATCCATCTTAGCATAAAGGTTACGTTGTTAAGAAAAATTACGGTGCAAACGTTGAAAACTTTCTTCAAATTTGTTACTCAAAAAAATAATCACTTTCTTTAACGAAAAGATATTGAAGATAACGAAGAGGCATGACTTTTTCTGCTGTTTGTTATAATTATTTACATGAAACATTAGAAATAATGAATATTATGTTTTCTCATTTAGCTAGATGTTATTTTTCTCGTTTTGATTTCGATATCATTTTTCTTGTTTTGGTTTCGATGTTATTTGTCAAGTTTTGGTTTTAATTTTACTTTTCAAGTTCTTGTTTCATTCGTTTATCGATGTAATATAGATCAGTAACAAAAGTCCTTTTTTTTTTTGGTTCTGGAAAAACTCAAAATTCTTATATTTTTTTAAGGAGGATATATATAAGAGAAATAAATTTACAAAAATTTCCAGTTTTAAAATTAAACTTTTTATCTACGTTGGAGTTTACATCATTGATATTGTCAACAAATTGATACCAGTGTTAAAGTTAAAGTAAAACAAATCTTAAAAAGTTATTGATCTACCCGCAATTGTGGGTAAAAAATAAAAAACTTGACGATAAAAGATTTGTATGTCATAAGCATCATAAGTTTAAATATAGATAAGTATAGAAGCTTCAAACATAGATAAGTATAGAAGCTTCAAATATAGATAAGTATAGAAGCTTCAAATATAGATAAGTATAGAAGCTTCAAATATAGATAAGTATAGAAGCTTCAAATATAAACATAACTTTTTGTACCAATAAAAACTATTTATGTAGTTGTTAATTACACCATTCTAAGTGCTAAAAGCTACCTTTTAGTTGTTGGTTACCCCCAATAAAGTCAACATTTAGTTGGTAAAGTCACCGAAACTTCTTCAACAATAATAGTGGTTATATAAAAATAATGATCACCTAAACCAGATAAAACAAACTACTGTATGGACTTGTTAAGTCTATAAGACGTCTGTACATATTATTCGAACCACACATGGTCATTGAAAATGCCACTTTTCAGTTTAAAAACAAAAGCATTATGGCTGAAATGGTCATGTTTGAAAAACATTTCAATTTTTTTCTAAAACTACTTTGCAGCGTTGCACAGAAATTTAATGTATAGTTTTAAAAATTTTCAGTGAATAAAATTGTATTTAAATTTAAATTAAATATAATTTTGTTATCTTAACACTGACACAAGACAAAAAATATGAGTTCAGAGACGCAACTCAAAAAAATAATGCTTTTTTTATGAACATTTTTCAAATGAAATTTTTTTCGAAATTTTACTTCTGGCTAAGTTATTTAGATTTTTTTGCTGATTGTATTGTAAATATAAGTTTTATTTAAAAGATAAATTAATTTAAATTTATTTTAATTTAAAATTTCAGGATTGCTTTAGAGTAAAAAAAAACAATTTAAGAGAAAAACTTCTATTAGAAAAAATCTTTCCGCATGATACATCACTGATTTATGGAAATAGTCTGGTACCGCAAGTGATGTGACTAACAAAATAGGTACCGCAATTGATGTGACTCTCAACAAAGTACTGCATATGATGTGACTTAAAAAACAGGTACTGCAAGTCAAAACCGTTACGAGGGTTAGGTCACTGGGTATTTTTTACCCGGGTGCAGGTTGAGTGAAGGCGCACAACGGCCAAGTAAATGTTTTGTTCATTTAATATTTTTAAAATAGTTTTACAAGTATAAATTATTTGGAAATCCGATGAAGCCCTATTCTATAGAAAATGATGACCAAGGCAAAATGGTTTTTTCATTCATCAAACCTTATAAAATTGATGAGTTATACGCATATAATCTGTGAAGCTGCGGTTTAATGAGCAACCCAGGGAAATATTTGTTTCTTTCTAGAAGCTTCGCAATCTTGATCTAGAAGCTGATCATTTGAAATAAAATCTCTTGTGGAATCAGTCATTTGAATGTATTTACTTATTATTTTTATTTGTTATTTTATTACCTTTTAATTTTGCTAAAAACAAAATAAAAAAAAGATAACAACACAAACATAAACACCTTGATCTAAACTTTTTTTATTTCTATAATATACACCTTGTACGGAAAGTTTAAACGTACTTGTTTTTTTAACGTATATAATACTTGTAAGAAAGATAACCTGATAAGTTGATGAGATGTACTCTGTATTTTTATGTTTATTTATACTATGGTTATAATTTATTATTTAGAAAAAAAAAATTTAAGGGCATTTTATAGAAGGTGATGAAGGAGGGTGATGAGAAAATTAATGTAGCAATTAACTCCTTTTTGAAATAAATTTTAAACGCACTTTAATAAGAAAACGCGTAACACTCGTTTATTGAGAGATTTTTTATTGAAGTTTTTTGCATTTTTATCACTCAACAGCCTATTAGCGTTTGGATATTTTATTTGGATCCTTATTCTAATTTTATTTCGAATAAAAACCGTAAATACGATTTGATTCAAAATTCAGCAATTTTCAACTGATCGAACTTTATCAAAATATCATATCTTCATGTATAAAAGAGCTATTTCGAAAACAAAATGGCAAGTTAATGGAATGCATAAAATGAAAATGATAAGTATTTTTGAATTCAGTGTTTGTACAATAGTAAAAAATTACTTATCAACTGGTAGTGTCAATGATAAACCTCGTATACGGCTTCCGAAAAAACTGACAGCACGCAATGAAAACATACTTTACACGCTAAGCAGACGCAACACAAAACCAGGAGTATCAGCTTTAAATGAAGAAATAGTTTGTTGGTAGACAAAGCAGTTAGTCGAACGACAATAATTAAGTTTTTACACAAAAAAGAACTAAATTTGCTTCTTGGTGTAGGAAAGCCTTTGTTGACGTTAACCAATCAAAGACAAAAAAAATGGTGCAAAGAGCGTTTGAATTATTCAGTGGAACAATCGGAAATGATTATCTTTAACGATGAGTCAAAATTCGAAAATAATAAGAGATTTATTTGTCGTAAAATACGTAAAAATATTTGAAGCAACACCTACTAAGCCGCATTCAAAAAGGTGATGGTTTCTGCCTCGTGTTTCCTCTTCGTACCAATCTAACTTAACTAAACTATCAAAAAAAAACAAGTTTAATAAGTTAAAACTTTCTTTATAAGATGTATATGCTGTTATAATCAGTAAGTAGTTGTTGATCAAGGAAAAACTTATCATGAAGCTTCGTTGTAAATAGGAATTAATCAAAACACAACACAATCAATTTTACGAAGGTACGGTTGAACGAATTCATCATTTCCTGGTTCTAGAGGTAGCGCTCATCGCGTTATTATTAATGAAGTGATTAGAAGAAGAATTGAAAAACTTGTAAACGGTAATACAACGATAACTATAATTAAATTTAAAAATGCTTTAAATGTGAATGTATCTATTATAACTGTATGGAAACTGGTGACTAATCTTGGATACACATATAAAATTACTCGACCAATTTATGAAAAGAGAGACCTTCAAAAACCTTTAATTTAAATATATGAGCTATACTTCAATCTCGCTTATTCTTCGGTACCGTTGTGTTTATTTATGAAAGTCGATTTAATTTAAGCATGTTTCGCAGTCATTCATGTGCAAGCAGAGAAGTCATACCAAACCCAATTATTTGCCCTAGGCAGCGTAACGTTTCGATAATATTGGCTATCAATACCCAGCGGGAACCGGACGTACAAAAAACGTACAATGTACGTTTAGTTTGCGTCCTGAACGTTCTAGACCTTTTTGAAACCAAAAATAATATTTTTTTTGGTCAGCGTGAAACGATCAAAAGAAGCACGGTGGGGTAGAATAACATCAAAACTGCACAAAAGTAATTTTTTTTCTTTTAGATTTATAAGTTAAATAATTATTTTAATATGATTTTTAAATCATAAGGTTAACTTTAGTATTTAAAGATCATAATCAGTTGATTATTATCTTTAAATGATAAGGTTGGGATTTTTGATTTTAAAAAAACATATTGTTGAAGTTGAACGAGTTTTAATGATAGA